TTTTTTGGGTACCCAGGATCGAACTCGGGGTCTGTGCACTTGTGCAGGCGACAAAACCACTGAGCTAAATCCCAGGCCCTCCTCACTTTTTTTGTGTGCTTTTTATCTTTAACAAGTTGACTGCAAAACTGATAAAGTCAGATTTTAGTTGAAGGTTTTACAATGTAGGCTTTTTATATCCAAGATACAAGTGGTGAAACTATATTTTTGTAACCGGTAAGGTGTCCAAATTTTACTTTAACATTTGTGAAAATCTGGTTTTTTACAACTTTTTATTTTTTTTTACTATTTTTTTTTTTTTTTGGTACTGGAGATCAAACTCTGGTCCTTCAGCTTGCGGGGCAGGCGGCAGAACCACTGAGCTAAATCCCCGGCCTTGTTTTTTTACAATTGGATAATATCCATGAAATAGACCTGCATAGCTCATGATCTGTATTCTGTAGTACTGAATTAAAAGCTACATTGGTGATGAGCACTGGTGTTAACTTATATTGAAACACAATTTGGTGTACATTTTTCTCTTTTCAGATATTGCCATTTGTGGGTATGTAATATCCAGAAGTAGTAATGGAAACTGGCCCAGTTAAAGAATAAAGTAGTTAATTTGAATAGTTATGTTTTTGAACTGATGAGTTTTTAATTTAGCTGCATGTTGGCCCGGGGATTTAGCTCATTGGTTCCACCACCTGCCTTGCAAGTGTAAGGACCTGAGTCGGATCCCCGGTACCAAAAAAAAAAAAAAAAAATTTAGCTGCATGTAGAACTAGTTAAGTGAAATTATATCAATACTATGTCACTGAAATGATTATTTTTTTAACTTTAGGGTTGTTTATATTGGTTCCTCATAGGATTTAAGAAATATTGTCTAACATGAGTACTTGGTATGGATGCCGGAATGCTATAAAACTGAGAAATTAAACATTCTGTTAATAGGCTATTCATTTCATGGTTGGGGTGAGGGGTGGGGGAAGGCCAGAAAGATCCAACTATCTGAAAATAGGCATTTTCTATATAGAAATTAGATGGTAATTTTGCTGAGTTGGAGTAAAGGTACATACATTATAATACGGGCTGGTTGAGACAGTGTGCTTCCAGTGGGTCAATACACTTTTTTTTCCTTTTAGAAAAAAAAATCGGCACTTTTTGAAGTGTCTGAGGTTATACCAGTAATGACAAATAATTATGAAGAAAATATTCTGAAAGGTGTGCGAGATTCCAGCTATTCCTTGGAAAGTTCCATAGAGCTTTTACAGAAGGATGTGGTACAGCTCCATGCTCCTCGATACCAGTCTATGAGAAGGGTAAGTTCTGTTTTTAAGTCTTGGTAAGTTTTTGTGAGTTAAGCTTGCACACATACACACACCCCATGAGTACTTAACCATGGTGATGGATCTTCAGGTCATTTTATCTTTGTGCTGTGTTAAGAACAGGGATCATTCGATTCCCGGTACCAAAAAAAAAAGAACAGGGATCATGCCTTAGAGACTTTAAACCTGCTTTTTACAAGCTTGGGAACATTCTTATAGGGATAAGTATGTAGAGGATTTCCTTTATCCCATGTTAAGTGCTTGTGAACATCATCAGTGTTAGTTTTAAATTCCTAAAGTGGTTTTATTTTTTAAAAATTGACTTCAAACAAAAATGGATAACTTTGTTTATATGGCATCATGCTGATAATGAGGTATATAATTATTGTGAATGTTATATGTTACTGCTCATTGGGTTTGCTTTTTAGAAGGGAGCACTAACATCATGTCCCTTTATAAATAGAAATTTAGCCAGGCATGGCGGTGCACACCTGTAATCCCAGCGCCTGGGAGGCTGAGGCAGGAGGATTATTGAGTTTAAGGCCAGCCTGAATTACATAGTAAGACCCTGCCTCAAACCAGAAGAATAAAAAAGAAAAATTTTAAAAATGGTATATTGCCGCTAATCCACCAAACTTCTGCCACACATTGGATATTAATCTGGGGCTACTCGAGCAAGAGATCTTGCTCGAGTTGATTGTTGTGAGGGAAGACTGGAGATATCTCTATCCTGGACTAGAAGAGGTTTATTAGCCTTTGAAAATAAATACATTGGTTAATGGGGAGGGAAAGTAGGAATTCTATCAACATAACTGGTAACAGACAGCATTTCAGCTGTGAGAAGACAGTGGTATCAGAAATTTATTTTTAGTGTTTTTTATTGGTACATTTTGCATATACATAATGTATATCAGGAGTTTTAAAACAACCTTTGTTAAATAGGTTCTAATTTTGAAGTGCAAAACATTGGACTTTAGAAAGTACAGTAAAAATAGGTCATGAGCCTTTCAGATTGTATGGTCCTATTTTTACTACTTAAGATAAAAATGATGCATAGTAGCCCTTTTTCACTTGTAAAATGTTTCTGTAGTCAAACCCTGTAATTTGTGCCTTTGCTTTGTTTCGTGTTAAAATATATATATATATATATATATATATTTTTTTTCTTTTTACACAGGATGTAATTGGCTGTACTCAGGAGATGGATTTCATTCTTTGGCCTCGGAATGATATTGAGAAAATTGTCTGTCTCCTGTTTTCTAGGTGGAAGGAATCTGATGAGCCTTTTAGGCCTGTTCAGGTATTTTATTCTGAAATGAAGCATGATCACTTAATAAGTGAAAATTCGTGTACTAGGGTCAAATTTGAGAAATTCTTTGAGACTATGCTTCCTAATATCAAAGCTTTATTTCATGAGTCTGTCCTATCCTTTTGAATATTGTGGTGTAAGAGAAGAAAGCATTTGGATTATGTAATCTCTTGAGATGGAGGTTATTCTGCATCTTTGAAATTAAAGCCAGAGAAAATTTTTTAAAGCTGGACATTTGATGTATAGAGGGAGTCTATAGATGAGCTTGGGAAGATGTGGTTTTCTAGAATTCAGTTGACAGTACTAAATGTAATCCACAGGCTAAAGAGGTAAAAGTATGTATTTGTTTAATGGATATTGTAGACTGATAGGACTGTGCTAGAGAATACAAGTTGAATAAAAAAGGGATGAAAATCAGAATAGAAAAGCTGTGTGTGGTTCTCAGAACAGCTCACATGTCAGTTTTCACTGGTCACTGGAGGCATTAGAGGGTTCTACCCTCCCTGTACTGCCAGATGTTGAACCTGGGGCCTTGTACATGCTAAACATGTATGCTACCACTGAGCTATGTTCCAATTCTGGCTTTAGTTTTTAATTTAGGATTTCCCATCAGAAAAATGTTAGGTTTCCTTATCATAGTATGTTTCTGAATTTCTTTTTTTCTTTTTTCTTTTTTTTTTTTTCCAGTACTAGGGATGAACTCAGGATCTTACCTTACGCCTGCCAGGCAGGCACAGTGCCACTGAGCTACATCCCCGGTCCTTGTTTCTGAATTTCTAATACTCTGCTTTTCTGGTACTTTATTATTTCAGCCTTTATAATAACTGGGTGGAGGTGCACCTCCTTTTTCAGAGAAAGAAACGGGTAGAGATTAGGTAAATACAGTAGTAGACCCAAAGTCTTTTGCAGTTAAGCAATAATCAAAAAACCTGGATTGACTGTAAAACTGAAGCTTTTGACTCACTACCTTGTGCTATGAAAAGTTCCCCATACTAATTATAAATCCTAAATTCTGGCTTACTTTAGCCCAGGAGTTCAAGGCCAATATAGGCAGCACAGTGAGACCCTATCTGAAAAATCACACACACAAAATCCCAACTTTTGTAATTTCAGAGTTCAGTTGCAGTAAATAATAATACAAAACTAATTTCAAGTAGTGTAAAATGAAATAGTACCCCTGTGGGTGTTTAAATTCTTGTATATTAAATAGTATATTGTGTATAACTTCTTACATCTTTAAATCATCCTTAGGATTTACCTAATACATTACTATGTAAATAGCTATACTGTATCATTTAGGGAAAGTTTATACATGTTCAGTACAAATGTGATTTTGTTTTCCCAAATATTTTCAATCAGGATTGGTTGAATTTGTAGACATGGAACCTATGGATACAGAAGGTTGAGTATGTATGAATATCCTGAGATATGGCTGTTTCTGAACTGTTTTTTTTTTTTTGTTTCTTTGTATTTTCTTGTTTTTGGGGGTTCTTTTGGCAGTACTGAAGATGGGTGAGCCTAGATCCTCCTGCATACTACCTAGGGCTCTTCAGTGAGCTATACTCTTGGCACCTAAAAACTGAATTTTAATAACATTTACAGTGGACCCTTGAGTTATGACCGGCCTGACATAAACAACTTGGGTTACAATCAGAATTTTGGTTTTAACGAGTAAAGTCTTGAGTTACAACCTGAATGCCACCTGCTTGTGCTTTCAGATGGTAGCAGATACAGATTTAACCCTTAAAGAGTTCTAGAGGGAACATTACATCCTTTCCCTTGTGGAGTTAATTGAGAAATCCTGGGCCATTGTCTCTAAGGATACTGATAGCTGCCTGGAAGAAAGTGTGGCCTAAAATTACAAGGAGAGAAACTTTGAAGGCAGTTGACCAATTTGAGTTACAACCAGCCCTTGGGAAGGAATTGACTTCATAAGTCAAAGGTCCACTGTAATTTAATTAAATTTTCTGGCTATTCATTACATATTGGACAATACAGATACATTTTTAGCTGGAGTAGACATTTCAGATAGTGTAACATTTGTAGTTACACAAAAATGTTTGTTTTTAGGCCAAATTTGAGTTTCATCACGGTGACTATGAAAAGCAGTTTCTGCATGTACTGAGCCGCAAGGACAAGACTGGAATTGTTGTCAACAACCCTAGCCAGTCAGTGTTTCTCTTCATTGACAGACAGCACTTGCAGGTAGGTTTTTTGAAAACTACTTTAGGGTTCATTCAAAAAGCTTATTGGTTAGTAAGCTGTTTTTTAAATGTTTTTGTTTTGTGCCCTCACTAGTACATTATTTTTGAAGTTATTTTAAAAATAAGCTGATATCCCAGTCCTCACTCTTCAAGTTCCCAAACTTTGCTGCATATTAGGACTTTCTGAGGAACTAATTTTGAAAGTCATGATTCAACAGAAAAGTACTTCTCACTTAAGCAGCAATCTAGGTATTCTAATTTAACATTGTTTATTCTCTCAACTTATGTTATCCCTGAGAATATTTAACAGCTTTATTACAAGTTATTAACCTTTAAAAAAATAGCATCCTCGGGTGTGGTGCATGCCTGTAATCCTAGCACTTGGGAGGCCAGGCAGGAGGATCACTGTGAGTTCAAGGCCAGTCTGAACCATATAATGAGACTCTATCTCAAAAAAACCAAAAGAAAAAATCCTAATTTATCATTCATTTAACAAATGATTGCCTCCACAGTGCCAGACAGTGAATGAGATAGAGAACAATTCCTGTCTTCATGGGTTCACACTCCAGTATGGGAGACCAGTATTAAACAAATAAAATGCATAATGATAAGTGCTAAGAGAAAGTAGGACAGAAGGATATAAACTGTGGGGAGTTGAATTCTTTGATGGTGTCACCAGAGGTCTTGCTGAGAGGAAAAGACTTAAAAAGTGTTTATGGTATTCACTAAATTACAGACCATATGTCTATTTAATAGAGAATACATGTAAAAGAAAAAATACAAAGGCGTGTCCCACTCAAGTTGCTGATAAGCTATTTGAGAAGACAGATGTACTTTTCTGCCTTGAAGAAAGGTGTTTTTTTTTGGTACCAGGGATTGAACTCAGGTCTTTGTGCTTGTGCCACAGGCAGCGAAACCACTGAGCTAAATCCCCGGCCCAAGGAAAGTTTTGTTGTTTTTTTTTTTGACCGGTGTGTTTTTTTGTTTTTTTGTTTGTTTTTTTTTTGGTACCGGGGATCAAACTCAGGACCTTGAGCTTGCGAGGCAGGCGCCAGAACCACTGAGCTAAATCCCCAGCCCTGCAGAAAGTTTTATAAGAGTTGCTTCTGGGGGGAGGCAGGCATTTGCTAAAAATGTAACATCACTTAGTGATAACAGTGTAAGTGGGGTTTTTTTTTCCCAGTTTCTTTTTACCTTAACTTTCTTGTAGGTATTTTAAAGTTGACTCTTAGTTTTCCTTTTTATTTGCTTATGGTCTTTACTGCCTTACAGAGGAATCCATAACACTGATTTTTAGTAATAGAGGACTAAAAAACTGGTGTAAAGAAACTAGCTGTCCACTGGTGGGGTGGGGATTGGGAATTAGACCCTAGGGCCTTTGCACTGAATTACATCCCCAGCTTTTTCTCTTTTGAGACAGGGTTTCACTATGGCCCAGGCTGGGCTTGAACTTGAGCTCCTCCTGCCTTAGCCTTCACTTTCATGCAAACGTACTATGAAATAGTGACACAATTTAAAAATGATCTCAAGGAATTGTTTTGTAAGATGAGTAGTAAATCATCTATTATGTATCAGAGATCTTTTTTGTGGGTTAAGTAGCAAACAACTTGAATCCTTTTAGTTCCAGAGTCAAATTTGGATTGTAGGTAGGGTGACTTAATTGTCTTAGTTTGCCTGGAATATCTTGGGTTTGGCAAAATTCCAAGTCCTGGAAACACTTCAGTCCCTGACAAACTGATTAGTTAATTACAGATAAACTTGATCTTCGGTGCTTTTAGTCTTCATTCAGATTCTGTTCTTGACTTTCATAAGCTGGAGATGTGTTGGCAAATTTGCATTATATGTAAGAGTCAACTTCTAGTTTGTAGGGGAATCGATATGATAGTAGTCAACACATACAGTACATTATATGCCCAGCTCTGTACTCAGAGCTTTTCATGTATGAATTCATTTAGGGCTCACATTAATCTCATTTTATAGTTAAGGAAATAATTTGGTCAAACAAAAAATCACTTCACAGGGATTTTGTGCTTTTTGTCCTAAGACGTGGTGAGGGCTAGACCAAAGGGTAGTTTTAGATGGACAAGTGATACTGAGATACAGGCCTGGAATCTATCAGTTCTGATACAAGTGCAGCTGCTTGCTGGCTCTGTGATCTTGGACAAGTAACTTCGATGAGCATGTTCTAGTTGGGTCTTGGTTCAGGTTGCATCTCGTTTACTGGCAGTAACTATTTGAGAAAGTACCTAGCATATAAGTTATAAGTTAGATGCTTAAATGGTAATTGCTTTTTAAAAATAATGGCGTATGTCTGTAATAACAGCACTCAGGAGTCTGAGGCAGGATTGCCTCAAGTTCAAGGCTAGCCTGGGCTATATAGTGAGTTCAAGGATAGCCTGAACTACATGTTGAGACCCTGTCTCAAACATAACAAAACAAAAAAACCTTCAAGTTTAAATTGGTAATATTTGGCCTTTTAGTCTGTAAACACAAGATATGCTTAAATTTTCACCCATTTCTAATCTCCTCCCTAGCTTCTGTCACCACATCTGCTGTCTTCTGACTATAAACGTGACTTAAATCTTTACTCAAAATGCCTTCAATCCTAACTTTTTTTACCAAGTAATCTGTAGTCGACTTTCCTAACTTTATATATTCTTTTATGTGTTTAATTTGTAATAATTTTTCCTGTATTTTTCCTGTATCTCTAGACAAGATTGTCTTTCACTGTGGGTAAGGATTGTACTTTATCCCATACTTTATATGCTTTACTACTGTTCTTAGGTTCTTAATAGATTGTGAGAGATTAAGTCAGTGTATTGAACTCTTAGTCATTAAAGGCATTAATTTTCCCCCTCCAGACTCCAAAAAACAAAGCTACAATCTTCAAGTTATGCAGCATCTGCCTCTACCTGCCACAGGAGCAGCTCACCCACTGGGCCGTGGGCACCATAGAGGATCACCTCCGTCCTTACATGCCAGAGTAATTACTGGCCAGCACATGGAGAAGACCAGAGAATGCAGCAGCAATATTTTTCTTGTTTTCTTACCACTTTATTCTTTCAGAGTTTAAAGAAAATGGACTCATGCACAGAACACTATGCATTTTGAAACTTGTTCATTCTGGATTTTTTTTTTTTTAATCATTTGTATCTCAGAACTTAAAAAAATTAGATGTCTTCTGCACGGACTGTGTGAAAGAAGATGCTTTGCATATTTGCTGCACTGCATCAGCATCTTACTAAAAATGTGAAATGAAAGGACTATTGTACACTGAAATGCTTAAATGTATCTGAAAGCACAAGGTGATACTCATTATTGATGGTCTTCCCATTTGTGCTGGTGTTTGCCTCTTTGACATCTGTCATCAGTATTTGGAGGGTGAGAAGTGAATGTAACAGGTATAAATAACATTTTTAAAAACTTAATAGCTTTGCTATAATCACCGTTGTTCAGAGCACTGTCAGATTCATTCTAATGACCAAAAGTGGTTAAAAAAGAAATGACAACCATGGGAAAGATATCTTAGATGACAAAAGCATCTCATTGTAGGCATTCTTGCCTCATATTTTACTGGGCCATGTTTGTTTTCTTGGGACATAAATATATGTATTTTTTTTCCCCAGATCTCTTTCCCCAAGTTGCTGTTATAAAAAGTATTCTGCTGAGTGTGGATACATTTATACACATTAAAGCAGATATGGAGTCTAAAGTAGCTAAAGCAGCTATAAAACAAATACATTCATAGCTGCAGAAACCATAGTAGGTAGAGAACTTTACTTTTGGGTTTTTATTTTGTTTTTTGGTGTTAAAGAGAAGAGATTTTAATTTTAAAATAATTCCAGTGAATTGTTCTGAAATTCTGATTACACTATCCTAAGGAAAAAGTTGAGGGTTTTTGATACAGGAAAAGTTATTAAAAAGTTAATTGTAAAAATAACCAGTGTCAAAGTTCTAAAAGCAGAACTCATTTTGTGCAATGAACATAAGGAAAGACTACTGTATAGTTTTTTGTTTTGTTCTTTTAAATGAAGAAAATCTTTGCTTAAGGGTTGCATACTTTTATTGGAGTAAATCTGAGTGATCCTACTCCTTTGGAGTAAAACTAGTGCTTACTGGTTTCCAATTGTATTTAGCTTCTGGTTGGAATTTGAAAAAAATGAAAACCTAAATAAAATAGGTGAAAGTTCCCTGACTATACTCAGGTGAATACACAAAGCTTGACGTGGTAACTTTTTTGTCCTAAGTCACTGAGTAGATGTCACTTAACCACTTTAGAGGATTATTTTGTAGCCCATAGCAGCCAGTTGGGTTTGTAGATTCAACAAGAGTAGGAATCAAAGACATGTTCTAGTTTCAGTAGGTATCAGCCTGTGCTTTTGCTGTACATGATGAACCTTTTAGAATCCATTTGAAATAACACTTTTTCTAAACTCTTAATAACCCTGAGTGGAAACAGATGCAGAGACTTAATTGCTTAAGCTAGGCTCATAAGTAGTAGAGGATTTAAATTAGACTGACAATACTGTGCATGCCTATAAGGCTGAGGCAGGAGGACTGAAAGTTTGAGGCCAGTCTAGGCAATTTAGTGAGATCTTGTGTCAAAATTTTAAAAAGGACATGGGATGTAACAGTACCAAGGCCCTGGGTTCAGGCTGTATTGTAGTACCACAGATAGGCTGCTGGCTGGAATTAGAGCCTGAGCTCTTAACCATTTTACTGTGTTGAATTACATTTACTATGTTCAGTACATTAGGCAATTCAGCAGCCGTTTATTTTAAAATAACTTTACAAAGTTGCAAGAGTACTACAGAAAGTTCTTGTATAACCTATACCCACTATAGTCTTACCATTTTGAACCTATACCCACTTTGGTCTATCATTTTGGGACATTTCATGTTCTTCCTTTGTATATATTTTTTGAACCATTGGAGTTTCTTGCATATGTTGTAATTCCTTACTCCTTAGGCCTGTGTTTTGTGAAGTCCAAGGACATTTGCGTTGCTGGTCAAGGTATTGTCCACGGTAAAATAGACAAATTTAGGGACTATAACATTGATATACCTTGTCATTCATGCCCTAGTTTTAAGTCAGTAATTTTGTAGGGATTGAACTAGGAGTGCTAAGTGGGTGTTCTACCCCTCTTGAGCTATGTCTCCAATATTTTTTTTTTTTTTTTTGGTACTGAGGATCGAACTCGGGTCCTTGCGCTTGCAAGGCAGGCAGTGGAACCACTGAGCTAAATCCCTGGTCCCTCCAATACTCTTGATAGCTTTAAAAATTCCCTAATAGTACAGAATTACTGCATTTAGTTGTCATGTCTCAGATGTCTTTTGTCCCTCAGCCTCTTTCACGATCTTGACATTTTAGGAGTATGGGCCAACTTCTATAAACTCATTTGAGTCGTTCATAGCTATTGACTCTCACCCCTTCTCAAGTTACTATGTAGGTGCACACTCTCTGTTCCTTAGTGATAATTTTGGTTGCTGGTCAAAGTGTTCTACTTTTTTTTTTGCACTATGTCCTTATTCCTGGTAATCTATGGGAAACAGCATGCAAATAGCCTACCTCTATCACAAGCTCCACTGATGTTTCTTGCTGCTGGACCAAACCAGTCTTAACAGTGGCTGCAAGGGTGATATTCCAGATCCCCTCCACATTTTTCAGTATTTTATTGTAAGACTCCTGTTTGCCATTTTCCACCGAAAACACTGTGGACTCAATTTTTTTTTCCCCTTGATGCATCATTTGCATGCCTTTGTCATTTTTGAGCACTTCATTATTTTCAGGGTTAAGATTACCTTGTAGTTTTGTGCACCAGCCTCCATCCCTGGAATCAGCTGTTCTATAGAGCCCTCAGGTTCCTTGAAGTGGGAAATAGACTAGAAGTCAAGAACTGGGTCTCTGTGCCCACTGCTGCTAGGGAATCTGCATCTGTCATTGGCATGAACAGATGAGCATGCATTCTAATACCAGCAAAGGATAACCAACTTACAACTTGACTTTTTCCAAATTTATTTTAAGCTGCTTCCTTTTCAGTCTTTAGTCATGAAATGTTCACTAAGCCTTGGATGTAGAAATAAAATATTACAAGTGCCATAGTCCACAGAACTTTGTGATCTTTGAGAAGTAGACTAATTTGTGAACTTGATTTTTTTAATATAGTAGACTGGGAGTTTCAAAGGGGCTCATAGTATGCCCCCCCCCCTTTAATACAGAAGATGCCAGGCTGAATCTATAATAAATGATCAGAGGAAAAGTATTTGGAACATTTTCTGTATCACGTGATTTGCTTCAAACTAAGCAATTACGGCACAATTAATTTTCTAATAATGGGCTATAATTCATCTCTTGAAGTTTGATAATCTATAAAGAAAATGGAAACGTGACAAGGCATTTTAGAGCTGGGAAAGACATCAAGGATTGGCTGTTTTTATGATCTGAATATATTTAGTGTTCCCCCCAAAGTTCTAACCCTAAGGGGATGATGGTACTAGGTAGATAGGGTCTTCAGGAGGTACCCAGTGGCCTTAGAGCCCTAGTGCTCGATTTCCTCTGCCATGTGAGGCTGTGTTATCCTTACTGAGAAGGCACTATCAATGAACCAGGAAGCAGGCCTTCACCAGACAGTTTTGGAGCCTTGATCTGGGGCTTCTCAAGCCTCCAGAACTGTTAAGAAATTTGTTTATAAGCTACCCAGTCTAGATAGTATGTTGTAAGAGAGATCTGGACAGACTTAAGATAGCCATTAAATTCTACTACTTTAACAGCATAATCTTAGAGTGGCTCTGCTGGCTTTTTTGCTTTACCTGTTTTCAAAACACTTAAGAATTTTTTCTTTCAATTATTTAAAGAGACAAAGTGAAAAAAACCAGACACCCCCACCTTCACTGTGCCCTACTTGGTTCTCTAGGTCTTTTTCCCCAAAGACAATATTCCTTAGCTACTTGTGATTCTGCTGGTTTATTTTGAAAATCTGTTCAAATTTACACTTGATGTTCACCACTGGGTTCCTTTCATCCTGCTGTTCGCTCAGTTTCCCAGGTGTTTTGTGTGTCTGCCTTGTGCTATTAGTTTTCCCGTGGCCTTGTTGGTCACATCCACAGAGGCAAAGGCAAGTGTCTTTCCTTGCTTCAGAATATTTGCTGTAATTACTATTTCTTCTCCTATTTTAGCAGGTGACATGTACCTTAAAAGGAAGCATATTTAAAAATAGTTAATGCCAAATACTTTTTTAAAAAGAAAGGTATGACAAGTTCTTAACAGCTTTCCTATGTATCTTATTTAACTCCCCAAAATAATTTTAATGTAAGTTTACTGAACTATCAAATTTGAATGGCTTATTCTGACAAGGTTCTATCTTGTCCATTCCTTACCCAGTTTCTTTTCCTACAAATACACGATTTTTTTTTCCCCTTAGTTTCCCATTTCATTATTAAGACTAGTGAAAGAGGGCTGGAGATTTAGCTCAGTGGTTCTGCTGCGTGCCTCACAAGCACAAGGTCCTGAGTTCAATCCCTGGTACCAAAAAAAAAAAGACTAGTGAAAGATTTCCTCTCACTTTCATTTTAGGAAGTTTTAACTTCCTAAGTATCACTTGGTGTCTATCTAGTCATATTTAGACTTACCTCTAAAATGACTAAGAACCGTAAGAAATGAATGAGGTTCTTAAAATCCTAGTGATGAGTTGTATATACTGCAATCCCTTGGGGGACAATGGAGGGTTGTTCTCTACCCCTGCAAATACCAAAATCCATGTATGCTCAAGTCCTTTATATAACATGGTGCAGTATTTGTACATAACCTATGCAATTCTATTATATACTTTAAATCATCTCTAGATTACTTATATTTAATACATATAAATGCTATGTAAATAAGAGTATTGTTAGAAAATACTGATTGGAAAAGTCTGCACATGGTATTTTTTAAGAATTATTTTCCATGTAAGGCTTGAATCTGCAGGTGTAGAACCTATGGATACAGAGTACTGCCTACTTTTTTTTTTTTTTTAAGTGGTACTGGGGATTAAATCCAAGGCTTTTGCATGGAGATCATCAACACTAGCCCTTTTTTTATTTTTTGAGATGGAAACTTGCTAAAGTTGCCCAGGCTGAGCTTGAACTTGCTATCCTCAGTCTCAGCTTCACAGAGTGCTGGGATTACAAGCCTATGCTACCATCCCTGGTTTATGACTATATATTTTTGAGAGATATACTTCCTACTAAGTGATAAGTTTCCTTTAATTCAGTTACTTTAGCTAACTTACAAATAAGACTAGAGGATAAGGACTGTTTAAATGGTATGTTTTTGGTTTTCTTTTTGTTTGGTTGGTTTTGGGGGTTTTTTTGTTTTTTATTTTTTGGTTTTTTGGTACTGGGGATTGAACTTGGGACCTTGTGTATGTGAGGCAGATGCCAGAAGCACTGAACTAAATCCCTGGCGGTTTTTGGTTTTTTAAGACAAGGTTTCACTGTAGTTCAGGCTGGCCTTCAACTGATCTGCCTTAGCCTCCGAGTGCTGGGAACACAAGTGTGCACCACCACACCCAGCTATTTTTAATATATCTGTATTTTAAAAAGCAAGGAACCTTAAAAGATGATGTGGATTTTTTTTTTTTTTGGCCAAATTCCAAATAAGAATTAAGTGTTTGTTGCTGGGAAGTATAAGAAAATTGGACTTTATTGCTGGAAAGAACAGAGGCTGGTCTTGAATTCTTCAGGTACCCCAATTTAAGTATGCTTTTTTTTTTTTGGTACTGGGGATCAAACTCAGAACCTTGTTCTTGTGAGGCAGGCGGCAGCACCACTGAGCTAAATCCCTGGCCCCCATTTTCATTCCTTTAAATTGGGGTACCTGGGCCGGGGATTTAGCTCAGTGGTGCTGCCGCCTGCCTCGAAACCGCAAGGCCCTGAGTTTGATCCCTAGTACCAAAAAAGAAAAAGAAAATATGAAAAAAGGGCATGTTCATGATTTACCCTAATTTTGTCCTATAAACAAGAATTTTGGCAAATGACTATTTGCTTAAATGAAACTAAACCAAGCAAAGTAATCCTTTGTCCTGAAGATGAGCAAACATTAAATCTAGGGGATCTTGAAACTGACATTTTATCAACAGTATTCTTATCAACAAATCTAAAAGAATTTGCTCTTTTGTTCTTTTGGAACCCAAAATTTTAACCTAAGTTATGGTCTGTAACAGATGTCTTTGGTCTGTGTAGTATAGAACTTAATGTGCAGGGTTGAAGTAAATTTGGCATCATGTCGAGTGGCATTGCAAAGAATGAATCATGAGGTATTCAAGGAATGAAATATTTGCTGAGTTCTGAACTATGCACAACCTTTGAGACTATTCGTTTCTGTTCAAGTGAATCAATTTTGAAAGCCCAGGCAACTTTGGTGGTAGCCAACACTTTTGGGAACATATGCAGTACTTTGAAAGGTCAAAACTGTTTAACTTAATAAAAATTCTTCAAGGTTGTGTTGTGGGAAGGATCTGGATTACTGCCTGACACTTGGTTCAGCTTGCTGCAGCAAGATGACAATGCACATATGAAAGGATCTCCAGCTTTCCTGAATTTTATTCAGACTTTTCTGTATATGTACTCAATGCAACCCTCATAAGACACTTGTCCAAGGGGTACTTTTAAGGACTGTGAAACAGCTGTAAACTGTGAGTTTATTTTTTTCCTTCCCAGTATATATAATTAGAAGTTGTCTGCTGTTTTGAATATTTGGGATCATTCATTCTCCCTTTTCTATTGATACATACTATACAGTGGGCCCTCTGTATCTGTGGGTTTTCTGTCCCCCAGTTTAACCAACTGTGGATTGAAAATATTTGAAAAAATAAGATCTTTTATCTTATCATTCTCTAAATAATACAGTATAACAACTATTGGTACATCACTTACATTGTATTAGGTATTATTAGTAACCTAGAGATGATTTACGGAGACAGAAGGATGTGAGTAGATTATATGCAAACAATACCATTTTATATAGAAGACGAGTATTGGAAGACTTTGTTATCTGAGAGGAGTCCAGTAACCAATATCCTACAGATACCAAGGGATGACTACTTGGAAATCAACTATTTTGCTCCTAGGTTTTAAGGCCATGGACTAGTTAGGGCAAATCTATAGCTGTACTTAATGATAAACAGCTAACTGAATCTCATGCTTCATTAATATTATAAATATATTTAGTCCTGGTTGTGTGAAATGAGTTTTCAAATGTATAAAGTTATCTGGTACCATTTGGATACATACGTTATGTTCATGTCAACACTAACTCCTGGTACTCCTCTTTCCGTGAATAACAGAGCCATTGTTGATATGCTGTCTATTAAGGTGGCTGTGAAACCACCATGGAGAGTGCCTTGTTTATTAGTGTGCTCTTCTTCTACTTTCATTTCACAAATCACTTTCTCAGGAGCAGCAGAGACAAGAGTCACCTACATGCAAAAAAAAAAAAATCAAATATTCATTCTGTGAATGAAAATCCATACAACCATTAGGAGCAATCCAATTAATTTGTTGCCAATTTATGATAGGTATTAACCCTTGTGCAAATAGTTTTTAGAGAAAAAGCAATATTTAGGGGGAAAGGATACTAGTTTTTGCTAATTTCCACTCCTCTGCAATGTTCCTCAGGAGAGCGAGCTTTTCAGACTTATGTACAATACCTGGCATCTCATAATGTCTCTTGGCCCGTGATCTATTAATAATCCATGTAGGTTTAACTCAGATGTTTATTAGTTTTTGCACAGTGATTTTTAAAATGACTTAGTAATGAACAGTTCAAAACCACTTGAAAAACAAACGGAGAGAAATTCAGTAATTCACTGAATTACTAGAATTAAGCATAAGCCATAAAGCCATTTTAATATAAGTTTAACAAATGAATCCAGCACAGTTAAATTACTGCTTTTAAAGTCTTGCCCTATTGTGCTCACTTTGGCAGCACATATACTAAAGTCTTGCCCTATTTATAAAGTATCATAACGAAAAGGTATTACATGCAAGATAAAAATGTGGAATAATGAGGCATCACTTTTCAGAAACATATTCATGGTGGTTTACTTGATTTTTTTTT